ATTTTGTAGTTAAAAATGTATAAAACATTCAATTTTTATTGATTAAGATTGAAAAATAGTTAGTAAGTATAGTTATGAAAATCATAGACCACTCTAATTTTGAATTGAGTCATAACTAAAGATGAAATTTAAAAAATATACGTTAAAACCCAATAATATATGTACATATACCCAGCGTCACACGATCATACAGCTATATCTAATTAATTTTTTAAATTAACTTCTATTATTACTTATCCTATAATCGTTCAAAATCTAATTAATGTGTGACATTATCAAAAAAGAGAGTACCTAGCGATAAGAGAGTAAAATGTAAGGTTAAATTATTGTTTCAATTAGTGGTTGAATTGGTAGTATAAAAACTATGGATAAAAAGTAGAATAGTTACATAATACAAKTGTAATAAGTTGTTAAATACTGCGTAATTTATTAAAAATTATTGATAATTCAATCCGTATAGYAGGATTATTCGGCAATCAAATCACCTTACTTTTTCTTCAACAACGCAGTTATTCAAAACCTGACTATAGGAATTTTCAAATATACGTCAGCACCATATTTYCAAACACTGGATATTTTTTTTAYTGCTTAAAGCGTTTCCTGTGGATATTCAAACTTTATATTTCAAATGTGAAGATAGTATAAAACTTCTATGAAAATTTCGATAAATGACGTTTCAAAGTCAACAATTTTAATGAGTCGTTTTTGAGTTAAGTTACTAAAGTATCTTAAAAACTGTTAAATAACATTATGCAATAAGGATAATTGGTCAATATGGAAAGATATAGAAATCTAAGACGATTCAAAAATTTTAGCAATAAATATAATATCTATTTTATATTGGTATTTGTAAAATCGTTTTTAAGGACTATTATCCTTATAAATTTATTGTAAATATTTTGATAACTGAGAAATTACTCATTCAAATTTTGAACTATATAGTTAAGTTAATTGCATAATATTCAAAAAACAAAAATATACACTAATTAATTAACATTATAAATGGGGTAGGGGGCGTTCTCATTTTAAAAAACAAAAGATTGTACCATCATACCATACTCTTTAAGTATTGCTAAAAATCTCAAGAATTTTAAAATCTAGTCTTTAAGTATATCTGCATGTTTAAAAATTCCATGCATTAGCTTTAAACTAAATTCATAATATTAAAGGAAATGAGGATTGAGCATGCTTAGTGAATCACTCTGTACAAAAATAATTAAATCAATCAATATAAAATTAATTAAAACTATACGTCATGGATATTTTTTGTAAAAATAATGTACAAACAATATTATTGTACCTATTACTATTACATAAAACATTTCATCTTAACTCTAGTCGAAGATTTCGTACTAAAAACTAATTAAATTAAAAACTGATTTTTTATTTGCACAATATTTTGACGAATTCTTGAATTTGCAAAATTATTATTTTTATGTAAACAAATTATCATTTATGCAGTGTATATTGTATTTTTTAGCTAGAATTTATACACATTATAGTTATCAGTAAATAAATAACATGGTTATCTTAAAAAAAAATGTTCTTTTACGTTTATATTACCTACCAATAAATAGTGTAGATACCTATAGAAAAATATTAGATAAAAATATTTATAGACGCAATAACCTATAAATAGAGGCGATACAAAAGATATTAATAAAAAAATGATCATAAAATAGTTTTTATTGACGTAAATATTTAAGTATTATTCGTCGTTTTCAGAGGACAAACCTACTAAACGTTATGCAGAAGAAGAAATAATACGTTCAAATTTTAGTACGAAGAAAACTCATATTAATTGTACTTATCTAAATGTCCATTTATAATGCGTCAAAATTCAAACAACAATTTCTAGTTACATTGAGCTGTGGTCATACGAAAAAATAAATAATCAAACAATTTCAACGATCAAAAATTACTTAACGCTATTAAGTCTTGCAGAATAATCGGATTTATATATATTTTTTAAGTGAAAAACTTTTTTCGGGCTACATTAGACTGATTATTGAATAATCTTTAAATAATCCCAGAAAAATACATATGAAAATACTAAAAAACAAATGGGATTATTTAGACGTTTATGACAACATTTAATACCTAATTGAGTTTTTAAATCAGAATCAAATGTAAACTGTATAATGCCTTCCAGTGCCGTATCCGGTGAGTGGGCTTTTGGGCTTAAGCCTCCCCCCCCCCTGAAATCTCAGAAAGATATTTTTTTTTAGTAATTCGTAATGGGTTCATATCATAGTAATAATGTTGACGACCTTTTAGTATATTAAGGTCTATGGTTTATACCCATGATAATAAAGAAATAAGAAACTCTACCGGTGAGGCAAGATTAAACGAGTTAGCACTTATGAATATTATACACAGAGACATACAAATTGATACAGATACTATTTTAAATATGTTTGCGTCGAAAAAGAAAAGGCGTTTAGATTTACATTAATGTATTGAATGCATAATACATTAAATACTATGTGTATATTATATTTCCCCCCCCCCCAAGAAAATAAATCCTGGGTACGGCACTGACGCCTTCATATTTCAAACACAAATAAAATTATCGAATTATCGAAACTTGACTACGTATTAAGCAGTAAGAGATTATGTACTTCAATACCATTCACTTTAAAGCAATAATAAATTAATAACCAGTAACAGTGAAGCCTCTAGTAAAGTGTATTGTTTTGCTAATGGCAGTAATTAAAGTGGGAGACCCTCTTCTTATTTAAGGTGAGATTATGCGACTTATTTAATTTTAGTCTCCAAAGTCCGTGGCAACGCTTAAGAAGAAATTTATTTAGGTGATATTTAATATAAATTGGTTTTTATTTGTCTTTTTAATGAAATATATAAAAATAAAACAACTTTGAATTTTAAATATATATTTTCTTCWCATAAGAGGCTATAAATAACAATTTGTTTTTACTGAGCTGGCATAATATATGTAGGTATAATCAATTTTCTTAGTAGGAAAATTGTTTTTACACCTTATTAACATAAACTTTTTATGAAAAAATAGTTGTGTGAAAGAAAAAAAATGATGGAGGTTTAGACCTCGAGGACTTCTTAAAACAGTTYGGTGAGATAAGGACTCTGGTAAGAACTACGGATGCTCTTAAATTATTGATGACTAATTCACTTCAAAATTCCTACCAGTTACCATTTCGATCACTGGTTAGATAATCAAGTTCTACATACATAYTACATAGGTACGTATGGTAGCTTAAATAACACCTAACCAACAACCATTAGGTACAGAAATAACWACACAATACAACAGTACCTAYTGGGTACTATAATTAAAGTCGATAAGGAGCCTGAAGAAACGGGAGTAACCGAATTGGTTCCCGTTTGGCTGAATTGGTTCCCGTTTGAAAAAGGTATTTTATTAAGTTGAGCCGAATTGGTTCCCATTTGCGTACAGGAATTTTTAATTTTTAATAATTGGTACAAAATATAAATTAGATAAAATATAAATGTACCTTCATGGCAATATTCTATAGTCTATACTCTATAGTATAATATACAATAATATGGCAATATCTTTAATATTTATATATTGGCAGTTTAGCAAATTATCGGTGAATTGAATATTTAAAGAAAGTTTGTTTCAAATTTGCAAATCAACGCTTTTAAGTAATTGTAGGTACCTATTTATTATATTTTATTATTTGTATTTTGACTATAGTTGACTTCCAAATCAACGATTTAAAATTGTATATATTCCATCTTTTTTGATATAACACACATTAACGCACATTTTTAACCAAGCCTACTTTTAAGTTGACAGTCCTAAGCCTGTAAAATTGAGAAGGAAAATTTGCGTAATTTAACGGGAACCAATTYGGCTTAACTTAATAAAATACCTTTTTCAAACGGGAACCAATTCGGCATGTGGGGTTGGAGCTCGGGAACCAATTCGGTACCAGCCGAAGAAACTGTAGGCCATTTGGAAACTGTTATGATTTGTAAAAYCTATACAAAAAAAAAACCTTTCACTTTTTTAATATTATTGTATTTAAGAATTATTTTTATAAATCATTAGTTCACTATCACCATTCACCAATCATATATTATTATCTAGTATTACCTATATCAGTGAATAAAACCAACAAAGTTATGTTTCACTTACGGTTTTTCATTAAAAAAATGTATTTATTCCAAATAATATAGTGAACGAATAACCAATATTTAATTTTTTTGTAATTTTTGTATTTTCGATACGAGTGTAAATTTACAGTTCTTGAAATAGTATTTGAATTGCGTTAACAAGTAAATCAAATTCCTTCCCTAAATTTTCCACATGATACAATAAGTCAGTAGATAGATAGGTAAAATCTAATAAAAGAATTTTGAACGTCAATAAAATAATTTTGTGTATGTGGCGTCTAGGTACAAGACGAGACTAGCTCCAAATAGAAAACACAAAATATACTCAATTACAATTAAAACATTAAGTAATACTTGATGTGAACTTGCTCTGTTCAAATTGTTGTTTAATCATTCTCTTACGTTGGATTATAAATTGTCTTAATATGTGCATACCTAAATAGTACCTGCATTAAGTGTGATAATTATGATGAGAGTGCTGAGTGGTGAATTTTAGTTAGTTACATCGAGTAATTTACATAAATATTTTATAAGAGACGCAACATCTTCCATTGGTGTTATATTAACATTTTACCAAGAACTTCTCAAACACTTACGTTAACACAAAATAAATACAATAATAATTGAAATTGTATTTATTTCCAGTGTACCTATTGCTTATACTTAGTGTATACTTTTATAGTTTTTTATAATATTATATTATAGTATACAGTAAATATACTCCATGTTATTTTTCAGTTAAAAACATTGACCATGGGTACCATATGAATGTAGATTATGTATTTTAATTGTTTTCGCTTCTTTTGTTTTGGTCACTTTATCCATTATCCTGTCACACTACCATTCAAAAAGACGATTAATCAAATGAATATTATTACCTTTACGTGGCCACCACGACCATCACTGACGCCACAGACGGGCTGCAGCCRCGGTCTACGTGGCCCCGTAGGCCATATACGATTTCACGCACTGGACACAAAAATTATGGRTACGTAACAAACATTCCGGAATCGCGAAAATTGTTATATTARGTTTGTTATTAATGTTTTAATATTATCTCGTCCCTTACCGTAACAAAATCAAAATTGGTAAGTGGTTGTTATATAACACCGTGACCATCAACCAATAGATTTGGATTTCGAGTAACAATGATTTTGATTTTTACACTCTAAACAATCCTATTTCATGCGGAAGGACGAATGTTTGCACGGGACGAGAACACGACGACGAGTGTATAGCGGCGCGCGTGTTGCACGGCTATAGCGGACGGGAAAACTGACTACACACCGAGCCTGTAGTAGCGGGAAAACTGACTACACACCGAGCCTGTAGTAGCGGGAAAATCGGCGGTTTCCCCGCAGGTCACGTGACAAGCGTTTCCTTTTTTCGTACCCAATTTTAACGACGCGATCGCATGACCACTACCGTGTTCTGTGGTGTTGGTTTTGTTTTGATTATTATATTATTTTTCGCCTAAAAAAAAATCACACCACTAAACTTTCCAACGTGCATCCGCCGCCGACAGCTAAACTAAATACACATACTAAATAATTTAATAAAACTTGGTCGTTAGAATTTGATTTGGTTTGGTTTTATTTAATGTTTTTATTTTTAG